TTCCTTCCTTCCTTTCTTCCTTCCTTTTCTCCTCCTCCTCCTTCTCCTGCTCCTTCCCTCTCTCCCCGGCTCCCTCTCTCCCCCTCCTCTAGTACAGTGCCTGACATATATTAGGCATTTAATAAACATTCACTGAATTGAATAGGTAGGAGCATGATGTATTAACATAGAGCTGAAAGGAAACCTAGAAGTCGACTAATCAATCCTCTCATTTTACAGATGAGAAACTGAGGCCCAGAGAGATTAAGTTAACTTGCCCAGTGAGACATCCTCTGAGTCAAAGACAGCACCCTTTCCACTGTATCACACTTCCGATCTGAAGTGCCACAGCTGGAAAGCATTTGGGAGAAATATCTATAGTAATACTAGATATCACATCTTTACAGTTGACAAACACATTGACTTCTATAATCCCATTCAGTCTTCATAATGGAATTCCCCTCTTCTCCACAGGCAAGGGAGAGATTATGAAGGAGGAAAGAGAGATTGAAAAAGGAAGTCAATTGATTTCCACTGTCTAATAACAGATAAGTGGCAGAACCAGGACTTGAACTCTCAGTATTGTTGCTCCTATACCAAGATGCCTTTCATAATGGTTCAGTCATTTGCTTTTGTTTCCCTCTTCTGTTAGCAGTTCAAACCAGTACAAATAAACAAGCTCAAACCAGTATAAACAAACCAGTGTAAACCAGTTTAGTTCAAACCCGTATAAGCCAGTTCAGTATAAATTAGTTCAAACCAATACGTATAAACCAGTTCAGTTCAACCCAGTATAAATCAATTCAGCATAAATTCAAACCAGTATAAACCAGTTTGAACCAGTATAAAACAGTGTATGTGTGTATATATATATATATATATATACATATACACATATATATATATGAATGGCTTATACTCTTATACTGGTTTGAACTAGATGGATTCCACTAGTTTCAACTGTTGAATAAATTTTTCATATTTACTTATCTGTGTATTTGTTATTTTCTTCCAGTAGAATATAAACTTTATGAAGGCAGGGACTGTTTTGTTTTTATTTTTGTATTCTCAGTGTCTAGCATTAGCTACATAGGTGGTTTTTAATAAAGGCTTGGTGACATGAAATGTATTGGAATGTTGAATTGGTGATGTTTTTTCTTTCTTTTTAAAAATGTATTTTAGTTTTCAACATTCACTTTTATAAGATTTTGAGTTCCAAATTTTCTCCCCTCCCTCCTCTCCCCCCTCCCCAAGACAGCATGCAATCTGATATAAGGTACACATGTACAATCATATTAAACATATTTTCACGTTAGTCACGTTTTGAAAGAATGGGAAAAACCGCAAGAAAGAAGAGAGGTAACATGTTTTGAGCAATGAAAAAGAGAAACTGAAGGGGCTGAAATCAGGTGACCTCACTCTTAGTGAAGGAGACTTAGTCATCTGCTGTCATTGGGATGTGAGAGCTTGGTTGGGGGTACAAGGTGAAAGGAAAAAGGCTTGGAAACAATTACTAAGGGGAATGAGGTAGGATCTTGTGATCTAACCCATGCAGAAATGCAACTGAACAAATTCAGCAGATGTTCATTAACTGGCTACCATGTGCCAAAACAATGTGTTAAGTAGTAGACAAACCAGGTCCCGACCTTAGTGGGAGATAATGGTGGAATCCTATCTCACAAACATGGACAGCATCTTTAGCTGGGAGGTACCACGCTGGGGCTAGCCCCTTGTCTGAAGGAGTGGGGCTGCACTGGGCCATTTCTGTCAAACTAGCAACATGAGCTATACCTGAGTCGTATGGTGACAGCCCTCCATAGCTTCATCAAGGCACTGAAGAGGCCTTTGCCATTCCCCTAGTGGTCAATTCTCTCTCCTTGAAGCCAAATTATCAATCATCTTACAAGACCTTTACCTTCCAGATGAAGAAACTTCTAGCCAGACAGTTTAAATGCCTTGCCTGAAGTCGTACAGGTAAACCAGGGGCAAGACTGGTATATTTGACCTCTACCTGGGAGTTTTAAGTCCACTGACTCCAAATCCTGCCTCTTTTTCACTGAACCACATTCTTTAAATTTACATGTACCCAGACAGTATTCCCCTCTTCTCTCATAGGATGTAAGCTCTCTGAGGGCAGGGACTGGTTCATTTGGGTTTTTGTATCCCCAAACTTAGCACAGTGCCTTACATTTATTACTCGCTTAACCAGCGTCTGTCGAACTGAATTTTTTGTTGGATGAAAACATCTTTGTTTTCTTAAAAGTGTGAAAAAATGGGTCTCAATTTTCTTCCTTGTTCATGAACTTTACTGTGAGTTTGGCCTCTCGATAAGGAAAAAGCTGGATAATGGCTCATTTTTCTCTGGTATTCCTTCTCGTTAGCCAGCAAGTCCAGCCCCTTTCCTTCTCTCCTGTTTCCAGATCTCACGCTTTGGAAGCTCATAAGCCCAGAGTAATTCATAGTGTGTTGCCTTCAGAGGCCTGGCTTTTAACCAGAGAATGAACAGGAGGGCCAGAAAACCATCAGAACATCTTGAGTGCTGTTAGACCTTGTTTAGAGCATAAATTGCTAGCTCTTTGGTGGTGTCTTTCATCTTCTCTGTACCCCTGCCTTCTCCTGGCAGGTCTCTTGGTTGTGTGTGGACGCAGCCAGGTGCTTAGGACAGCATAGGCAGGAAGCAAGGGTAATAAAGTGGTAACAGGCATCTGTTCTGGACTGAGAGGTGACCTATATAAAAAGGGTTACAGAATCAGCAACCTCACTGCCATACTCTACCAGCCCACTGTTGTACACAGATGGCATAGAAAAAGAGCACCCCATTAATTTTCTCTTTTTCTCCCAGGAAAAATAGGGATAACTGACTAAACACTCTCTTTCCCGTTGTGGACCTGGCAAATGGAAGCCTAGCTGACCATCTCAAACATTCTGTCACCTCTGCCCGATCAATTCCATCAGATAAAGATGAGTCAATAATGTCAGGGTTTACACTAGCTATCCCAATAATGATTTAGTAAAGGCACTTTCAGAACACACAAGGTTTTTATCTGCCTAAGGATATAAACAACTGTCTGAACACCAATATGGCCTAAGCTCTGTGTGCTACACAAACATCACACATCACTCCCCTACTTGATAAATTCTAATGATTTCCGACTGCCTCTACAAAAAAATTATAAATCCCTTCCCAGCCAGGCCTTACCTGATCTCTCCTGTCTCATTCCTGCTCTTCACATGCTAAAAGGAAGAATCAGGGGGGAGAGTATGGGTCAGCCGGTGCCTCCTCCGTTCTGGGGTGACAAAGGCTCTCATTTCCCACTACACTTCAAGTTTGCCTAGGTTGTGAGCCCCTAGTTCCACTATGACCGTATCCATCCATCTTCAAGCAGTTTGGGGAAAATAACAGGCCAGGAGTTTGGTAAACTTTGGGATTCCACAGGGTCCCCTGTTTCCTCTGCTCCTGTCAGGGGCACAGGACATCACAATTCAGACTTCTACAGCATTGTTTTCAAATTGTAAACTCTTGGAAAGCAAGGGGCCACTTCTTGGCCCTGTGGGGAAGAGGGAGGACAGGAGCTTTTGGATCGCCTGAGATTCCCCCAAGCCAGACTAGCGCCTGGGCTTCCAGTAGGCCACCACCAGTGGCTTGAGGGTGTGTGTCCCCACCATGTTTTCCCCTTCTGTCTTCTTCCCTCCTCAGTGTGTAAACATGCTGGCTCCATTGAAATTTCAAGATATGTACTCTTGGCAGGGGAATAGGAGTGCACAAGGCTCCAAAGTCTTAGATGAAATCAGGCGTAAAAACCCCAAGATACATACAAGTCCTATAAACAACTGGTCTTAATGAGATGAATGGAATGGCACCATTGGTACTATTAACACTCTAAGACATCTCCTCACTTGGAACCTTGATTCTCCAAAGATAAACTTACACGATTAATGGTCTTTGGAGAGCTGTACTGAACAGGGTGGAAGGGTAGATATCAACTTACATGGAAGTGTCTGTGGAGAAAAGTGACTCACCAGATTCCACCCCAAACCTGAACAAGGTTCTTTCCTTCTATCAGTGATCAGAAGTACTTTCTAATCTTACAAGTAGGTTTCCTGGCCAGTGTTCTTTTGAGAACATCCCCTGGGGGCCAAGATGTTTTGATGAGTGAGAAACAAATTAACCAGCTCTGGGCAGCCCCAGGCCAGACCATGCTCGCGTCATGTCATCTAGTCATCCACTTTGGCCATCTTGCCATCTGTCTGGCCACTACACACATTCTCCTTCCCACTTTCTGCTCTGGGCACAGTAATCAAATCAATGCATCAATACTATTGCTTCTGTAGAGGGCATGCTAACTGGCTATTCCGTGCATTGCCAACCTAAGGACTCCACACCACAACTTCCTTTCCTCCTGTTTGAGCATAAGCTCTGGAAGGGCTGGGACTGCCTTTTATGTGTGTATTTCCAACACTCAGTACAGGACATGCAGAAAATTGATGGTAAAGTAAGTTTATATTCTGGTTTGTCAGATTTATGTAAGCCTGGGCTGGAGGACTACTGGGGGGCAGGGGGAAGAGGAAAGAGAGTGTTTTTAGCTAGCTAATCAACTGGCCTTCTGGATCCATCCCCACCCCTGCTCTAGGATTCCTCTCAACGGCTTTATTGGCTAGCTACCTTTCCTTATCGTACTTAATACCCGTGTTCTGGAGGTACCTCTTAGGCTTGCAGACTTCCCACCTGGCCCCAATGGTTCAAGGCAAGTTAGGTCTCAAGTCAAGCAGAACGCTAGAACAGGATCACAGCTTTAGACCCAGAGGGAATGTCAGAGGTTTTAGTCCAACACTCCCATTTGACAGATGAGCAAAGTGAGGTCCAGAGAGGTTTAGGGAGTTGCCCCAAATCCCCACAAGCACCAGAGGCAAAATCTGAACTCGGTCTCTGCCTTTAAATCTGGCATTCTTTTCACTGGATCAGGCTCCCCTTCCTAGGTCCCTCTGCTTTGCAATCAGATCAGAAATTCACCAACTTCTCATTTAAGATAGAAAGATTTTTCTTTATTAATGACCCCAACCGTATTTTTAGATACAGGAGTTTTAAACTCAAATACTTAGGAGAAAAACAAGTTAATATTGTATTTCCTGCAACTCATTACCAGTAACGTATTGCAAAAGCGAAAACAGCTTGGAAAGAAAAGGGAGGGGAGTAGGGAGGGGAGGTGGTGGCGGTGAGGGGGGGATAAAGAAAAGGAATTAAATTGATCAAAGTGGAATTCTTTCTTTTTTTTTTTTAAATTCTTGGGAACTATGAAGTCCTTGCAAGCACAGCTCGATTCTGCAGATTATTTTCCAAACGTGTACAAAATAGAACCAAAAATGGGAGAATTCCTTTAGAATCTGGAGAGGTGCAATATTAAAAGCTACGATTATCCGGTAGCAAGTGCTCCAGCCTTCTGCTGTCAGCCTTCTACTCCGTCTGTTCCCATGAGTTTAACGGGATGAAAACGTCTTCCCCCTTGGAAAAGAGAAGAAACATGAGGGCCGGTCTCTTGCTGGCTGGTCATCCCACCTCACGATGTTTCTAAGGTGACCACCCAAGATAAGACAGGAAAAAGAGAGAAGAAAGGGAAGAGAAGAGCCAGGTTCTTGGGCAACCTTGGGTAAGGAATGTGAAAGGCATCTGCATGTGAGGTATATTTTCATTGCCACAGAAGCCCAGCCAGAGGGAATTTGGAGACGGTTTTTACCAGCCTTCTCACAGAGTACTTTTCTGAAGCTGCTGAGCACCTCAGTGGTTTCAAAGAATGACCATGAGAAGCCAGGAAAGACACATAAGGGCATTAAGACAGAATGGGAGGAAGACTGGGGACAGCTCCACACTGTAATCATACACATTTTGGACTACAACAATCTGTCTTTCTAGGATTTTTTCAGTCCTTAAACCAGTTGGGGTGTTCCCCTTTAGTCAGACTGGGCATATATGTCCATGAGTGAGACATGCCAGTCTTGTACCTTTTGCAATGTGGATAGCATCAGATCATAAAATGACAGATCTAGGGTTGAAAGGGACATCAGGGGGGTCATCTAGTTCAATGTTATTAAAGAAGGATGTCACGTCATCATTATTTCTGACTACTAGATTGTGAGGAAGCCAGCTCTATAAAAGAGCCCCAGATGGTGACCTAAGGGTCCCTAGGGTCTCTATGGGTCTTGTCCCCTGACCTCCAGTACTAAAAGGAAGTTTCCCTCTTCCCCATGATTGTGACAGAGACCAGGGTTGAAAGCACCCCTAACTTTTATGTGGAATTGAGAAGTAATTTTGTATGCCAGTCTGTAAAGCTTCTCTGCTAGAGCTGGAACCCCAGGAAGCCAGATCTTATGTGGGAAATGTAACTCTGTTGCCTTGCACAGTGCCTGCTATTTATTAGATGCTTAATACTTATTTTGATTAATTACTTTGAATTTAGGCCCCATTAAATCTCCTCCTTGACAAAAACCCCACCCCAAACAAGTCCTTCAAAAAGTTTTGAGTGCTAGATGCTAGACCAAAAGATCCAGAGCAGGTATGCATCATGCTCTTACCCAGGTGTTTCTATCAAAGAAAGACCACCTTATCTACTTTCACTTAATTTCCATAGCTATCCAGTCCCCCTGGGGCTACAGTGAAGACAAGATGTGGAAAAAGGCTAACTCTGCCTACAAGACTTCTTCAAGAATTATGTTTTCTTCCAACTCAGGAAAATGTCTGCACTTCATTAGGAGGAATCATTTTTAATGTGTATTCAGTCTCCATCTGGGAAATGGATCTGTCTGATTCCTGGTCAGGGCCAAAGAGTTTGGGAATTACCCATTTCCTCTGCTTCCTCCCTAATTATCTGCTGCCACTGTCTTTGTCATTTTCCTATTTGTTAGACTTTATTCAGAAAGTAAACAGAGGAAACAAGTATTACACTCACCCCGTTACTTTTTTAATAGCTTTTATTAAAAGTTTGGTGGGCAGGAAAGGGAAAACCACTGGCAATTATGGGGACTTCTGGCCCCAGAGAACACTTGATGGCTATGTGGTTATGTAAGGAAACCTTCTGGAATGGAAAATATTTCCATTAAGAGATGCTGACTGTTTACTGGCTGGCAAACAGGTGGTACCTAGTGAGATTTACGTTTGGTTCTTCCTCCAGGTGGACAAGCCGCTACCAGGGTAGAATCGTCCCAAAGGCAATCCTCATACTATCTACTTACGCTACTGGCCTTCCTGTCTGGGTTCTGACAGGCTGACCGACACAAGCTTCCCTTCTGCTGTACCTATCTCGTCTCATCTCCTGGCCTCAACTGAACTGACTGGCTCTCCACTGGGCCCTGAATGCAGCTCGAAGCTGGTGGCCTCACGACTGAGGTCACCCATGTGGTACCTGTTGAAATAGGAACTCCTGTGAAGAGCAAGCAGGAAGAGGGGAAATCGTGAACTTCAGGAAGGGACAAGAACTGAAACACATAATAGTAGGAGAATCTGCTTTGGCCGCAGGGCACAGCTTATCACCTTCCTATCCCAGGTACAGACAGGCTGTACTGCTCATGCAGGGATCTGTCCAGAAGCAGCAGACAGGACATCCTGACACTCTTGCTTCAGCACTCAGTCATCTCTTCAGGAGGACCCACTCAGATCTGAGTGACAAGTCTACTGGAGCAAGCTTAATTCAAAGAGCTGAAAAAGTCTCCCAGTATCAATTCACTGCTGTCATATAACTGGCATGGCCTTATTCCCCAGAGGTCAGAACTTAAAAGAATGCTTTGGGCAGAATTCCTAACACTTTTGTAAATGAAAACTCCTAGCACAAGCCTCTGGTACTGAGATATGGGGCAGGCACCCTCCTCACTCCAATAAAATGGCAGCAGTGGCAGATTCAGTTAGAGAGAACCCGTCTCACATCCAGAAGTCGGGGGGCAGAAGAAGAGGGACAGTACACCTCAGAATGGTCCTAGGCAGGTGTTCACCTGCCAAATGCAGACCAGGACAAAGAAGGGAAAGTAAGAGGGAACACAAAGACTCCAGTGCAGTAAAGCATAAGGCAGATTCAGTTGAGTTTCAACATCTCATCAAACATGACTTGGGAGCTGAAAACTGGTAAGTGTACTAGACCATTCTCTCCTTGAAGGCAAAGAGCATCTTTTTTATTTTGGATTTCCCTCCACTGTCTAGTACACGTGGCAGGTACTTAATATCTGCTAGGGGAATCTGCTTCTACGGGGCAAACACTGTAGACAGACAGAGGAGCTACCTTTTGGCCAGGCTCTCTGGGGGTCCCAGCTGGCTCTCTTGAGGTTATCTGATCTCTGTTCTGAGGGCTGTGACAGGGAGCTTACGCTTCTACTCTGCCTTATCCCTTCTTTGACAGCAGCAGAAGAGCCAAGCATCTTCAAGTGAAAAAGACTTCTTTGGAGAAGTAGCTTGGAATCTAGCATGGCTCTGCCTCGGTCCTAGTCTTGCCAATCAATAAGTCCATTCCCTTGAAAAGGCTTCAGTTCTCCAATGGCCTAAAGGACTACTCTTCAATTTAAGAATGTCTAGTTTATTAAAGAAGGTTCACACAAATTCTCTCTATTTATCCTTAACTGATGCTTGAGTTTGGCTACAAGCAAGCTAAGCCATCCCTATAAATGTTCTTAAATCCTTCGTTAGACTGTGCACCCAAGCCCTAAGAAAGACTGTCAATAGACACAATGTTCTTTTCTATAGAATAAAGGATAGAAACCCTGCTGATGTGGGCCTCCACTTACGTGATTGTTTTCATTTCCTTTTTTTCTGCATCTGGGCGTGCACGATTCAGCACCTTGAGGAAGTCAGACGTTTTTGCCCGCATTCGTGTGTGAATATAGGCCTGGAGACAAACAAATTATACGCTGAAGGGGAGGTTCAGCTTTGAAATTAAAATTATATAAAGTTATTTTGATTCTCATTAGGGAAGAGATTCTAAGGGAAATTCTGATGCTAGGAAGTAGTATTCCCACTGGAGTTGGGAACTGGAAATCCCATTGGTGATCTTTGTCTTTTTCAGATAGATAAGACCTAAAGTGTGGCAGATACACCTTGGGGGTTGGCATGGGTGTGGAGATCTGTAATAACCTTGAAGACATGGGATCTAGGCTGAAATCTCTAACATGGAGGTGTTCATAGGAGGTAGGATAGGATAATGCATAAGGGCAAGTGGGAAAACTTTGATAGAAATTTCCCACAGTTAAGAATTCAAGTCTGTGGCAGGGAAAGTTTTTCAGATCGTCAATGCTGGAGTCTGGAAGACATGAAAATTTCCTCTGGCTGCTCATTAAGTCCTGGTGGGTGCCTCTTACCTTAGAGCATTTGATGTGATAGTGCAGGTAATCTCGGAATGTGTGAATCAAGTTAATGGTATTGTCTCTGGCATTAGCATTGGTATGGCGGGGGAACAGCACTGGAGAAGGAACAAAAGAACAAAAGAAGTCACCAGTATGCTTTGTAGGATTCCAAGAAGTGTAGAAGGAACAGAAGGTTTCAGCTTGATCCATTTTTCCTTAAGCACAACCCACTCACTTAATCACATACAAGCTATGGGGGCTGCTTCCTAGGTAATCTCAGTTATTCCTTGTGGCAATGAATGGCTGCATTATGAAGTGAGGGTAAAGAGGAAACTCTGCATATACCAAAAGCAAAGGGGAGCCTAGTTCAGAATCCAACTCCACAAAGGGATGGGCTCTCCCCTCTGAACTGTCATTCTAATTCACAACTCTAGGAATGCATATTTCTTTTTGGAATTTGTCCCCTATTCATGCCAGGGTTACTGGTTCCTAAGGCATTAGACAATTCTCTGTGGGGCGGAGGTAGTATCAGACTGACTTTGTGGTAGATAATCTACATTAATCACTCAGGAAAAGAGCCAAACCACCTGTCTAGTCATCTTGTTACCGAAGTAAGGAGATGTTCGTGAGAGACACTTTGTATATCCTTTAAACCTCTGTCAGTACTTCCAAGCATCTATGCTGAAAAATGCTCTCTACCTCCAGAGAGAGAACTGATTAACTCTGAATACAGACTGAAGCATATCTTTTTAAACTTTATTTTTTCTGTGTTTTCTTTCGCAACATGGCTAATATGGAAATGTTTTGTGACTTCATATGTATAATTGATATTTAATTGCTTGCTTTCTCAAGAAGGCAGTGTGGCAGGAGGGAGAAAGAATGTGGAACTCAGCATTTTAAAAAACCATTAAAAATTGTCTTACATTTAACTGGGAAATGTATAAAAAAAAATTTAAAAATATTTTTAAAATCCTATTAGCAAAACCCCTGGAAGCCCTAACTAGAAAGGAGGCAAGACACACAAATGGTTTGGAGATCCTTTTACTCCTATGGTACAGGTGTTAATTCCAATGTAAGGCACAGACAGCTTGATCTCTTGTTCCTATTTATCTAATGGATCCTGTGTTCCAGTTATTGGGGAGGGGGCCCTACTTTTTAGGTCCAGGCAATTACTGAAGTACTTGTAGTTGTTTATGGTAGGTTTTGTCTTTCACTTTAATTGGACACCCCCCACCTACAGATCCCACTCTGCCAGTAATGAGGTCGGAGAATTCTTCATATGCACTGGGAAAACAAAAAATTCATGTGACTCACTTTATTGTACTATTTGCTTTACTGTGCTGGTCTAGAACTGAACCTGCAACATCTCCAAGGTATGAGGTTAACCACTAGTCGTCTGCTTTTTAAAGGAGAACACCAAGTTAAAAACCAAGTACTTAACATTCAAAGGCTTTTGGCCTTGAGGACCTGGGTCAACACAAAACAGGGAGTAAATGCCAATACTATATCCCAATATGAACAAGCTCTTTCAGTGCTCAGTATTCTGAGTTCACTACTAAGACAAGTGCATGAAGGTCCCAATTCTGTCCAACTCACCAAAGGTGATGTAGCCAATATTGTCTCCTACAGCTGCATCTGTGTCTTTCAGCTCTAAAGGAGGTTCCCTGTGGCTGAAGAGGACCTGTGGAGCTGTGTGGCTGGCCCTGCGTCCTTCTTTGAACTCCTTCAAAGAAAAGAAAAGGTAAAGAAGATAGCTTAGCATCAAATGGGAGGCAAATACACGCTTGAAGGAAACCTGGAACTGTTGGGTTAGGTGAGGCAGGGAAAGGAAGTAAAATTATGGGTTTATCTGTCCTTTCGGAGGATGTCATTGAAAAACTTCTTATGTCTGCTTGTAGCAAAACTTAAATATGTACTGCAGGCAAACCTCATCTTATTGTGCTTTGCAGATAATGCTTTTTTTAAAAAACAAACTAAAGACTTTTGGCAAGCCTTCGTCAAACAAGTCTAAGGGTGCCATTTTTCTAAAAGCATGTGCTCACATCATGTCTCTGAGTCACATTCTGGTAATTCTCATAATGTTTCAAACTTTCCCCATTGTTATTATGTCTGTTACACTGATCTGTGATTTTAGATGTTACTATTGTAATTATTTTGTAATGAACCATGGCGTAATTATTTTGTGATGAACCATGCCCACATAAGACAGCAAACTTAACTGATAAATGTTATGTTCTCACTGCTCCCACTACCTGGCTGTTCCTCCAACTCTCTCCCTCGACTATGGCCTTCCTATTCCCTAAGACACAACAATATTGAAGAATATTACATAAACTTAACTGATAAAGCAGTGGCAGGGTTCCAGCATCACATGCTACACAAATCTTTTGTTAAAGGAAGAGTCAATCGATTCAGTAAACTTCACTGTTGTCTTATTGTAAGAAACTGCCACAACTACTCCAACCTTCAGCAACCACCACCCTAATCAGTTGGCAGCCATCAACATCGAAGCAAGATCCCCCCCCTCACTAGCAAAAAGATTATGACTTGCTGAAGGCTCAGAAGATGGTTAGCATTTTTTTTTTAGCAATAAAGTATTTTTTAATTAAGGTCTGCACATTGGTTTTTTTTAGACATAATATGATTGCACTCTTAACAGGCTACAGTATACAGCAAACACAACTTGCATATGCACTGGGAAAACAAAAAATTCATGTGACTCACTTTATTGTACTATTTGCTTTACTGTGTTGGTCTAGAATGGAACCTGCAACATCTCCAAGGTATGAGGTTAACCACTGCTTTTTAAAGGAGAAGACCAAGTTAAAAACCAAGTGCTTAACATTTAAAGGCTTTTGGCCTTGAGGACCTGGGTCAATACAAACAGGGAGTAAATGCCAATACTATATCCCAGCAGATTGCCAATAAATTAAAAACAACTGTAATTATCTGCTACTTTTACTTGAAGCAAAAGAAAGGTCTGATTATATTACCCCTCCCGATGCCTCCCCAGTATTTCCAGGACAGAAGTTCTGAGTAAGAGTTCTGGGATCTATGAACTTCTTTTTTTTTTTTAATTGCGTACTATATTTCAACATATTTCCTGTAATTCTATGTATTTCAAACATTTAAAAATGTGATTCTGGGAGAGGGTCCACAGCTTCAGAGAACTGCCATGGGGGTCTAGACACACAAAAATGTTAAGAACTCCTGCTCTAGGATCAAACATAAATAAACTCCTCAGATAAACTCTTCACAGGTAGATCCCTTCTTGCCCTGCCAGGCTTTTTACACTTCTCTCCACGACTCCCATTCTGCATTTTCACTCTGTTGGTCTCCCAGGCTTGAGTGGCTTATGAAATAACTGATGCCTTAGGGAGATGGGGGAAGGCACTTGGTGCCTCCACTTTCTCTCCTCTTCCTTGCCTCTAAACCTTGCAATCTGGTTTATGATGCCACCATTCAATCTAAACTGCCCTCTCCAAGGTTACCAATGATCTCTTTTAAATTTAAAAAAAAAAAAAGATTTTAGATATTGTTTTTATATCACTTTTATACAGACTTTCTCTGTATATCTACTACCTCTTTCCCAGATAATCACATCTTATAACAAAGAATTAAAGGGAAAAAAAACCTTGCAAAAACCAATCAGCATATTGAAAAAAAATCTTACATTACTCTGTACCGTCCAATGATCTAACTGCCAAATCTAATGGCCTTTTTCAATTCTGATCCTTCTTCAGCTCTCTTTCTCTGCAGCCTCTGACATTATTTATTCATCACCATCTCCTTCTGGAGACTTTCTTCTCTTTCTTGACACTGCTGTCCTCTAACTATCCATCTAATCCCTCCTTTCCCCAGGGTCTGCTCTTGGTCCTTCATTCACGTTAGGACTGCTAAATGTGGCTGTCTCCAAGATCCTGTCCTGGGCCCCCTTTTATTTTCATTCTAAACTACTGCTTAGTGACCTCAACAACTTCTAGGAATTAAGTTTTATTCTTGTATCACCAACTGCCTTCTGGATGTCCCTCCATTTAAAATTACTGTAGACATTATAAAATATTTGGGAGTCTATCTGCCAAAACAAAACCAGGAACTATATGAACACAATTACAAAACACTTTTCATGCAAATAAAGTCAGAGCTAAATAACTGGAAAAATATCAGTTGCTCATGGGTAGGCTGAGCTAATATAATTCTACCTAAATTAATTTACTTGTTCAGTGTCATATCAATCAAACTACCAAAATATTATTTTACAGAGCTAGAAAAAATAGTAATAAAATTTATCTGGAAGAGCAAAAAGTCCAGAATATCAAGGGAACTAATGAAAAATGCTAGAGAAGGTGGCCTAGCTGTACCAGATCTTAAATTGCATTATAAAGCAACAATCATCAAAACTACTTGGTACTGGCTAAGAAATGGAGTGGTGGGTCAGTGGAACACGTTAGGTATGCAAGATACAATGGTCAATGACTATGTTGATCTACTATTTGATCAATCCAAAGACTTCTCAGCTTCTGGGATAAGAAATCACTATTTAACAAAAACTGCTGGGAAAACTGGAAAAATGTATGGCAGAAACTGGGCACAGACCAACATCTTATACCCTACACCAAGATAAAGTCAATATGGGTACAGGATTTAGATATAAGGACATACTATAAGCAAACTGGAAGAGCAAGGAATAGTTTACCTTTCAGATCTATGGAGAAGGGAAGAACTTATGACCAAACAAGAGATAGAGAACACTGTGAAATGCAAAACGGATAATTTTGATTACATTAAATTGAAAAGTTTTCGCACAAAGACAATGCATCCAAGATTAGGAGAGAAGCAGAAAACTGGGAAAAATTTTTTTACAACCAGTGTCTCTGATAAAAGCTTCATTTCTAAAATACATAGAGAAATGAGTGAAATTTATAAACACAAGTCATTCCCCAATTGGTAGTCAAAGAACATGAACAGGCAGTTTTCAGAGGAAGAAACTAAAGGTATCTATAGTCATATGAAAAAATGTTCTAAATCACTACTGATTAAAGAAGTGCAAATCAAAATGACTCTAAGGTACCACATCACACCTATCAGATTGGCTAACATGACAAAACAGGACAATGATAAATGTTGGAGAAGATGTGGGAAAACTGGAACACTGAACGCATTGTTGGTGGATCCAACCATTTTGGAGAGCAATTTGGAACTATGCCCAAAGGACTGTAAAATTGTGCATACCCTTTGACCCAGCAATACCACTTTCAGGGCTGTAACCCAAAGAGATCATAAAAATAGGAAAAGGACCCACATGTACAAAAATATTCATAGCAGCTCTTTTTGTGGTGGCAAAGAACTGGAAACTGAGGGGATGCCCATCAACTGGGGAATGGCTGAGCAAGTTGTAGAATATGAATGTAATGGAATACTGTTATGGAATAAGAAATGAGGAGCAGGCAGACTGCAAAAAAACCTGGAAAGACTTACATGAACTGGCGCAGAGTAAAATCAGCAGAACCAGGAAAGCACTGTACACAGTAAAGCCACACTGTACAATGCCTGACTTTGATGGATTTGGCTCCTCACAGCAAATGCAAATATCTGAGACAACTCCACAAGATTCATGATGGAAAACGCTCTCCACACCCAGACAAAGAACTGTGGAGTCTGACTGCAGAGGGAAGCAGCCTATTTGCTCTCCTTTTTCTTTGTTGTTTTGTTTTACTGCTTTATTCTTGTGATTCCTCCCATTAGTTCTAACTGTTCTTTACATCATGACTAATGTGAAAATATGCTTAATATGAGTGTATAAGTAGAGCCTATATCAGATTGCATGCAATCTTTCGGGGGGGGGTGGAGAGAAAAGAGTGAAAGGGGAAGAAAATTTAAAACTCAAAATATTATGGAAGTGACTGTTGAAAACTAAAAATAAATTAATTATCAAGGAAAAAAAAAGGAACTGGATGTCCCCATTTCAAACTCAACATGGCTCACTATTATCTCTAGGATCCTATACTAACTCCTTTTTTTGCAATCAAAGCTCTTCATCACCTGGCCCTTTCCTACTTTTCCACAATCTATTTTACAGTCTCTTCTGCTCACTCTACATCATAACAATACTGGCCTACGTGGAATTCCTCAATCAGGATGTTTCACCTCCTATTCCATAATCCTGGCACTGGTTGCCTCTCTTCTTGGAACACCTGAATGTCTTACTTCTAAACTTCAGGTTACCTGATTTCCTTGAAAACCCAGATCAAATCCTATCTACTTCAGGTTGTGCCTTCCATCTCCACCATATATCTTTTGCATACACCTCAATGTTTACATGCTATTTTCCCTTAGAATATAAGATACTTAAGGGCAGTTTGGTTGTGACTAGTGCTTAGCACAGTGGCTTGTCACGTAGTAAGCACTTACTAAATGCTTGTGGACTTGATTTGGGCACGTTCGGTTTCCTTTTACATGTATTCTCTCCTCAAAAGGAAAAAACTTCAGAAGAAACAGGCTCACATTTTCTTACTCAGCTGATTGTTGGAAAGGTCAGAGAGAGAGAGAGAGAGAGGGAGGGAGTTAAGTTGACTCAGAATGGAAATTCCTGTGGCTTGGGAGTAAGTTTTTACAGATGCTCTTGAACAGCTAAGTAAGGTTTTTTGGAACTTACTTACTCTAGAAAACACCTTTTTATTTCTTTTTAAAAAATTTTTTTGATTTATCAACAATTACTTTCAT